GGGGTGCCATATCTTTCTGTTTGCCTGAGAGAGGAGGTCTCGTCTAAGGGCAATGGGCCACAGGGCTGCTGAGAGCAGCCGACAGCTCTGCGAACCAGTGTTGGTTCCTCCAGAGCGGGGCCACCAACAGAACTTTGTGTTTCTGTTCCCTGATTCGCCTGATTACCTGTCGGATCAGAGCGATCGGGGGAAAAGCGTAAAGGAGGAGGTTGGGCCAGTCGTGGGAAAACGCATCCCTGTCCTTCGAAAAGTAAATTGGGCAGTGAGAGTTGCCTTCTGAGGCGAAGAGGTCGACCTCTGCCTTGCCGAAGATCTCCCAGATTCTTTGAACCGTATGTGGGTGGAGCATCCACTCTTCTGAGGGGACGTGGTTGCGAGATAGCATATCTGCTCCTTGGTTCAACCTGCCCGGCACACCCGTGTTGGAATCATCTGTCGAGACCACCTTCTTTCTGCAGACCATTCCCAAGTACGCCCCGTTCCATCCACTGAGAGTCTTTCCAAGGGGACAGAGCTGCTATGCAGGCCCGGTCTACCTTGACACGAAGGTGTCCGAGACACCAGGCGTGGGACGGAACTCACAGTTTCAGCCAGCACTGAAGGGGCCGCATGCGAAGCAGGCCCAGCTGAAGTACCGGAAACGCAGAGGCGATGAGGCCCAGCATCTTCTGAAACACCTTGAGAGGGCGAGGGGCTCCAACTTTGAATGAGGCCAAGAGCTGCTGAATAGCCAGTGCACATTCTGGCGCGACTACCAGTCGAGAACTGTTCCCAGGAACGATATCCGTTGGCTGGGGGACAGTGCGCTCTTGACAAAATTGACTCTGAGTCCCAGGCATTCTAAGTGGCTGAGGAGGAAGAATCTGTGAAATAGTAGGATTGAGTAGGATTCAATAGTAGGATTGATCCGCACGACAACGAGAGGCGCCGATCCTCATGTGTAAACACACTGGCTGATCAAAGAGCTGCATGGAGAGTGATGCACGTGGGGGCTTTGCCGGCGTTAAATAATTTTTAAAACATTTCTAGTGACTCTGATTAAGTTTAGACAGCTTTCTTTCATTGGTTGTTTTTTTTTCCTGGTTCATGTGAGTTAGCTTTTATATGTTTCCTTATTGTAACCCCTTTATTGCTTTATTACTTTTTCCTCTTTTTGTAGGCTATGCATACAAGTATTCTTACGTCTTTCTTTGATTTTATATACAAATGTATTTTTTTTATTTTGTTAATGTTCTCCTGAAGGTGTTTGTATATTTTATTTTTTAATTTTTTTTCTGGTTTCCGACTCTTGATTGTGGAAATACATATTCTCTGATTTTGTACCTTTATTTTCGAATAACCTTTAATTAATTAAAACTTCTTAAAACTTTATTTTATTTTTTAATTTTTTTCTTAACATACTTTGGCAATACTACAATTATCAGGACAATAAAACCTAATTGAAATGTAATAAGCTATATTTAAATCGCTTTTAGTTTTGAATACAAAAAAAACAAACACTGCTTTGTACTTCATATGCATTTACATGCTTATGTTTAAAAAAAAGAGACAGAAAATAATTAAGGAAAACCATCTTTCATAGATACATTGAGGTATCTCTTAACGGAGCCTTTGGGGTTTGCACGGCTGATGCAGCTGTGGATTTAAACGTGCTCTCCGCGAATGAAACGGGCCAGGGATGTACATCAGAATCAGAAATCAGAGAGAGCTTTATTGCCAAGTATGTTTGCACATAAAATGAATTTGTTCAGTTGACAGAAACTTCCAGTACACAGAGACACCACACAGATAAGAAATAAAGATATGTGAAGAAAATACACATATGTATACATACTGCAGCATATATACAGAAATAGACAGAATTTGTATGTACAGTTGCAGTTTATAGATCAAATAGAATAGAATTTACAAGGAATTGAATAAGATGTAGGGTAGTAGGCTATTTATTGAACAGTAGGAGAGAACATTTAACTGTTCAGGAGGTAGATTGCCTGGGGGAAGAAACTTTTATTGTGTCTGGCTGTCCTGGTGTTCGGTGCTCTGTAGCGATGCCCAGATGGCAAAAGTTCAAAAAGGAGATGGCTTGGATGTGAGGGATCCAGAGTGATTTTCTGAGCCCTTTTCCTCACTCTGGATATATACAGTTCTTGAAGGGTGGGCAGGGGAGCACCAATAATCCTCTGAGCAGTCCGAACTGTCCTCTGTAGTTTTCTGATATCTGATTTTGTAGCTGAGCAAAACCAGACAGTTATTGAAGTGCACAGGACGGACTCAATGACGGCTGAGTAGAACTGTGTGAGCAGCTCCTGTGGCAGGTTGAACTTCATCAGCCGGCGAAGGAAGTACAATCTCTGTTGGGCCTTTTTGACAATGGAGTCAATGTGATTGTCCCACTTCAGGTCCTGAGAGATGGTGGTGCCCAGGAACCTGAATGACTCCACTGTCGTTACAGTGCTGTCCATGATGGTGAGTGGGGGGAGTGCAGGGGGGCTTCTCCTGAAGTCCACGATCATCTCCACTGTTTTGAGCATGTTCAGCTCCAGGTTGTTAAGATTGTACCAGACAGCCAGCTGCTCAACCTCGCTTCTATATGCAAACTCATTATCGTTCTGGATGAGGCCGATGACTGTAACGTCATCTGCAAACGTCAGGAGTTTGACAGAGGAGTCAGTAGAGGTGCTGTCAGGTCTGGAGGAGTGCTGGGATGATTGTATTGAAAGCTGAACTGATGTCCACAAACAGGATCCTCATATAAGTCCCTGGTTTGTCCAGATGTTGTAGGATATAATGCAGTCCCATGTTGACTGCATCATCCACAGACCTGTTTGCTCGATAAGCAAACTGCAGGGGGTCAGCAGTTGCAGAGTCCAGGGATGTCAGAAAAGCCAAACCAACCTCTCAAACGATTTCATGACCACAGACGTTAAGGCAACGGGTCTGTAATCATTAAGTCCTGTGATTTTGGCATGGGGATGATGGTTGAGTGTTTGAAGCAGAAAGGGACTTTGCACAGCTCCAGTGATCTGATGAAGATCTGTGAAAAGATGGAGGCCAGCTGCTCAGCACAGGTTTTCAGAAGGCTGATGAAACACCTGGGCCTGGTGCTTTCCTTCTCTTCTGACGCACATCGTCTTCACTGTGAATATGTATCATAGCCTACCACCGAAATTACCTGAGCAGTTGAATTAATTTTCTAGAAAACTCTGCTCATTCAATAACGTGCATTTGTTGCATGGACAGGGCAGGAACATAATATAAGTGTTTCAAATGCATGTATACAGTTCAGTTGAAAGCTTACCCCTTTTGACTTGCTGTTAATGCTGAATGTAAGAATGACTGAAATAAGACACTGAAATAAGAGCTTTTGTGATGAAAGTTGCGTTCGTTACTATAGCAACAGTCGGCTTGACTGTAATACCTTGTTCAGAATGTCAGTCCAAATCAGATAATTTGTTTATCCGATTGGAATCTGATTTAGATGATTGACTATCCACACTGTGTATCGTAACTGTTCAGATCCGATTTGTGTGTCCTGTGGCGCTCTTTCGTTTTACTGACAATCTGCATTAGTTTCTATGGCAACGTCGTTGTGTTGGTATACCTATGCTAAAAACAACACAGCAATACAGTTTGCAATACAGATGTTCTTAGAACATGACAACATGTTGGCACCGCACTGGATTATATTGTGTCTTATGAGGCAGCGGCAGAAACGCAGGAAGCTGGAATGCAAGGCTTTATTTCGTGCGGTGTCTCTGCCACTTTCAAAACTCAAAGAGCTGTGCAGACCAGCAGTATATTGTCTTTTTCCGTTTCACTGAAGAGACATTCAGCATGTTTTCTACACACAACGTCTGACATGTTTACGTTTTACGTGGCGTGAGAAAGTGACACAGGCAAAAACGCTACGGATCAGATCAAATCAGATCTGAGCGGTCAGACTAACAGAATTCCAGAAATGAGATTTGAATACGATTTCAAACCACATATGAATTTGACTCTTTTGTCAAATTCTGCCGTTTTGAATATGATTCATGTAATTCATGAGTTTTCAACATATTAGGAATACAACTAAAACTGAATGAGTGCATATTTTAAAATAAAAATATTATTTGCATTTCAGGTTTTTACAAAAAATTGTATTCTTGTTCATTTACTGTTCCCCTAAATCCATTTAAATCCTTTATTTAGGTAGTTCCTTTAAATAAATACCATTAGAGGTTCTAGACATGATTACGGCCTTGTTTGGTATAAATAAAAACAAGTGTAGAAACAATGATTCAGAGAAAGATAGTTTTTTTTATTTTTTTTTTTATTGCGCTTTTTTCAGTGTACATATATTACATTTTTTATAATGTTTATAAAAATAAACTCATTGTAAAAAAAAAAAAAAGCAAGTACAGTTTAAACAGAGCTTTATTTATACAGTTTGCACATTTAATACTCTAAGTCTAAAGCGATCACAAATCCTATAAAAAAACTTCTTGATCACAGAGCAATCAACGAGTGAACAACTGAGAACAAATCTGCAAACAGTTATAAACATTTTAACCATATTAAGAATATAAATGTAAGATATTTAAAATATTTTCTTAAAACAATTCACTTGCATACAATTATTAATTTCTTTATGCTTGTTACTGAAAATATATGCATTTAAGAAAAATCATCTTCATCTGTCTTAATGACTTGGCAAAAAACACAGGCAGAATTTTATAAGACAAAGAACACATTGTATTGAACTTTATCAACTAAGTGCCCAATTACACTATTTATTTAACTGTTGTGCAGCACCAACAGAATAATGTAATAACCTTTAGAGCAGTTTCATTTAGAGTTGTGTTACACATAAGTGCTCACTGGAGAAAATGTTGTACTAAATATTATAGATACATTTGTTTGCATAATATGTGTACAGATAATACAGTGCATATCTCTAAAGTATTTCAATCAAGCATGAGCATAAGCAGTTCACTCAGATTCATTTCTTAAGCAATGCAAGCGTTACTGTGTCTGCTGGTGTGAATCTCTTTTAGCCGTCTGTTGTCTTCTCTGCACTCAGGGACCTTTAAACAGATAAAAGATGATGCATTATGCAGGTGATGTGAATAATGCGAACCTCTGATTTGAGCTCATTCTGCTGATGATTTACTGTTCTAAGATCATGATGAACCTCTGATACACACAAGTAACTAAACCAAATCACTTAAAGCAGATTTATAATGTAAAAGAACCAATATGTTCCACAATCTGCAGGAACCAGTGCAAATTCTTACGTGTTTTATTCTTCTTCCTAATAGGTTGAGCATAAGTTGCATCACCAACTCCAGTATCAGCATCTAAAGAACACAAATAATCAATAACAATAAAATAATTCTAAAAAATATTATTTTTACATTTCCTCAACAATCCACATGACTTTAGGAATCATTCTGATCTGTAGCAGAAAAGGTGCATTATGGTTATTTCGTAAGGTTAGTGCAGGGGTCACCAACTGGCAGACTCCGGTCCGAACCCGGACCGCGAAGCCTTTTGACATAATGAAATAAATAAATACCAAATGCTATTTTCTAACAAAATCAAATTTATATCAAGCACATCAAGGTCAGCTCAGTAGAGCCGCTTAGGTCCTACGGCGCCACGGGTTGCTACTACAGTTACTACGGTTGCTGTTACTGTTGCTACGGTCAGAAGTGCGGTCGTGCCTGCAGTGAAGAGAACGGCGCGCAGACAGATGAAACTTTCAGTGAGTGAAAAACAATGGCATTCTCAAAAATTAGCAAAGTTGATGGGTCCTTAAAAAGTCTTAAATTTAGCTCTATCAAATTTAAGGCCATAAAACGTCTTAAATTTGGGGACGCCGGTAAGACTAGTATTGCGATATGGCTTAGTGTGACAATTAAACTTCAAAAGGCTATGATTTCATTGAATAAAAATGAGCGCTGCACGTTTCAAAAACAGCTGCTGTGCTACCCTACTGCTTTTACCGGGGAAACCGGTGTATTTCTGCCGTTCCAAAAGCGCCTCCTGCTGGCAGAAAATTTATGTGCATTTTTTAATAAGCCCGTCTGCTTTTGTTCAGATAAATGTGAAAATCAACCCATGTTTTTTTATCCAGCAAACACGTAGAGTTGTAAATGTGAACTAGTGGATCGATAAGAAGATAATGCATTATGAAAAGTGTTAACAATTAAGACAGTATAATATATATTTATATGTTATTTAATTAATAGGCTATAATAATAGATTGATAATATTTTTTTTAATTAATATAATATTTGATACTTTTGCTTTTAAATATAGTTTAAACACGGACAAAGTAAAACAAAAAAAAAACTAATTGGACGTATGACGGCATATTTCAGTGCCAAATAGACTCCTTCCGAGTTCGAATAAGTTTCGGAAAGTTTTTTTTCAAGTATGGCTCTTCATGACGTCACGGAGAGCGTAATTCCTTGTTTGGGCACTTCTCCTGGAAGAGTGTGTGCACACAGCAAATAGAGCGAGAGCGCGTGCCCATCAATGTGCTTGAATCGGGTTAAGGGAGTCGTCGACAGCGCTGCACAGGACTTGCTCAAGAAGAATGTCTCCAAAGAAGTGTGTTTTTGGATGTGAGGGAAAGATAACCTTGTTCAGCTTCCCAAAGAACCCAGCGTTAAGGGAACAGTGGATGCAGTTTGTTTTTCCGGGACAGCAACGGAATTTCGCACGTGTGTGTTTGTTCCCGTCATTTTGGTGACGAATGTTTTATAAACAAGGCCCAATTCGACGCTGGATTTGCAGATCGTTTGATACTGAAAGATAGAGCAGTCCCAGCGATAAAATATCCTGGTCATGAGCTGGAATCGCAGGCGGTGTGTAAAACTGCATCAAATTTCGGTGTTTTGTTGCCAATCGGCCCGTGACTCTTAAGCTCCGCCCAAGGTACGCCTCCAGGAGCTCGGCTGTTTTCGGAGAGAATCGTAAAGCTGTATCTTTCTTTTATAAATCTGATAAAACTAAAGAATCTTCTGAGATATGAAGGATGCAATACTACTATAGGTACGCAAGATTAACATGAGATTGGCGAAAATGTGTGTGTTATGTCCCCTTTAATCATTTAAAAAGCTTTTTTGTTTTTGTAAACAAAACCTGTATCTGAACTGTAAATCATGCTTTTTACAGTCAATTTAATTTTATTTGCACAGGTCTTAAAAAGTCTTAAATATGAGCTTAAATATCCTGCAGATACCCTGGTCTGGTAAAAACCGTCAATTCATGTTTTTAGGTAGGCCTATATAATTGTCCGGACCTCGGCTGGTGAAGAAGGTTCATTACTGGACCAAGCAATTTTAGTTGAAGACCCCTGGATTAGTGGTTTGACTGTAATAGTGATGAAGCTTGACTTTGTGTTTCTCTCACCTCTATCTCTGTTGTGGTTCAGTTCAGAGTACAGAGTGTCTCCAGACTCACTGCTCTTCCCTGATAGAGAACAACAGAGAGGCAACGAATGAACATAATGCCATACATCTGCAACACTAATAAATGATAATCCATGATAAGAGAGATCAGAACATTTTATTTTAGTTTATTTAGTAGCAGGTTTTAATAAAACATTTTACTTTACACACTTTTTCACATGATCTGTAACATGCTCATGACAACATTTCGGAGCATCTCTTTATTTACCTCTGTGTTTGTTCTTAGATTTCATTTCAATCAGAACATCGGAAAGTCCAGCACCTATCATGAAAAACAGCAGTTTGGTTATCTGACACTTTAGGCTGTTAGGCCTGTTTTTTTATCTCTTAAATACTCAGACTCACTCATTTCAGTAAAAACATACAGATGTGATTGGTGTGTTGTGATTTTTGTTACATTTCAGAAATTAAGTCGCATGAACTGGCTCTATCAGCCCTGTTTACAATGTTTATTTTTCTCATATTATAAAATTATTATATACAAGTCACATTTGATGAATCATTGTTTTTAGATGCAGTTTGTTGTGTGTTTACCTTTGCCTTTGGTGTTCTTTTTGTCCTGTATATTGATCTGTGCGTAAGTCAAATCACTGGGTCCTGCGATATTAATATCTACAAAACAGAAGATCAATCAGATTATATAGAACATTCTGGAAATATTGTACTTCAGGAAAAACTGAATCTCACCTTTGCTTTTGCATTTCTTTACTCTTTTTCCGACTTCTGAGTATATCACATTATTTGTCTCTGCAATGGTATCTTCTGAAAAAAAAAAATATATATTATTATATTTAATTAATTAGAATGAAATACACTTTTTTTTCATGAATTATAAATGCATTAATGCTTCTAGTTAAAAGCGATGATTATATTGTACTGGTGAAGTTAAGAGGTTTTTTGAACCTTTGTCCATCTTTTTCTTAACAGTGACCTCTGAATATGTGACATCTGCCAAGGGCTCTGGATCATCTAAAACAAACAAGTCAAGCCAACATGACTGAATGATTGTTAATTTTGTGTGATGTATAGATTGTTTTTATAATAAGGTTTAGGACTCAACCTTTATCTCTATTTTTCACTGTAGTCACGTCAACTGTATCTTTCATTTGTTGCTGTTCAGTTGTATTAATCATGTCATGAATTGCTCCACACCTTTGTTCTTCTTGTATCTCCACAGCAGCAGCAGTGAGAGGAAGAACAACAAGCAAACACTCAATCCCACAACCACACCAGTGACCAGAAGAGAAGATGAAGCTGCTGAGACCGGAGAACATGACAAACATGCTGATCTGATCATGAGTGACATACTGTATTATAATATTACAAAAGTACATGAAATCACTCATTATTTCAAGACTTCTGACTTTACTCCCTGTGCCCCTGCTGGTTATAACATTAATTTCATCAGAAAGATTGCATTTATGTTTATGCATCCAGCACATTCTAATAAACCTTGTCTGCTTAAAAAGGACGTGTGTTGAAACCCCCCAAAGCTGATAATTACTTAATTTTAAATGCATCAGTGCATATATTGTAGTCCCTGATAATGTTGAACAGGCGAGTGTTTATCACAGTATTTACTCACCATTAACAGACAGATTTATTCGTTCACTCTTCTGTGATGAGTTTGGTCTTTCATCTCTCTGTCCTCTACACCAGTACTGATCCTGATCAGACTCAT